GTTGTAGCTGAGGATTTAAAAAGGGTTTCAGGTAGGTTCACCAGTGTCCCTACACAGAGAGAAGGAGAAGGCGAGGACTGATTTAGCAGTGGCAGGAGAGCGCTGAGAGGCCGCAGGACGGTAGTGGTGGGAGACAGGGACACTTGCCCCTCCCCAGACAGAAAGTGGGTTTGGCTTTCTGTCACTGGGTTTGGCTCTGGAGTGAAGGAAGATTCTTCCTCAGGATCTAAAGAAGGTTTTTAGGATGGGAGCAATCTGAGCACTCTTACTAGGTATTGGGTGCAATCATGGATGAGTAGCCCGGGTGTTCAGGTAAGGGGCGGGAATTCTCAAGGCCAAGTTCAACTTGTTCTTTATAGAAAAACTGTGTTTGGAATTCTGGTCTTTTTCTAAAGGATTATTTAATTTCGACTGGATAATATATTCATAAGATTCAAACATAAGACTGCGCACACATACATTAAGTGGTGAACCACAAAGTCGCTCACTGCTGTCTGTTGCTCACTTAGACCCACCATTCATCCCTCAAATTCTCAGGGGACCTTCCAGCATTTCTTTGTACTGGGATTCTGCCACCCTGGTACTATTGGCATTCTAATGGGGGTCATCCTTGATCTGTCCTCAGTAGATGCCAGTGGCCTGTCGCGGTAATCAGAGGATCTCCAGACATTGCCACATGTCCCCTGGGGCATCATACCTCCTTTTGAGAGCCACTGCTTTATACCTCACAAGCAGATCAGATCGTTGACTTTCTCTTAACCCCCTTCTTACATATGCTTCTGTCTTGCTTTTTTCACTTAATGTACTTAGTCAACTTTTTCATATCAGTACATAAGCCCCCTCATTTTTGGTAGCCTCAGATATTTTCCTTTGTAATAATTTATTTAGCTCCCGTTGATGACTGTTTAAGTTGTTGCTTCCAGTCTCTGGCTGTTTCATTCGTGCTGCAGTGAATAATCTGACGTGTGTCATTTCACAGGTGAGTAGGCATTGTGAGGAAGTTCCCTGGGGAATGCAAGCAGGCCCTCAAAATTTGTAATTTTGATGAATACTGCCAAATTGCTTCCTCACATTATGTTCAATTACTACAAATACGGTTTAAAACTATACAAATTTAGTATCTTATAGTTCTATGGTCTCACTGGGATAAACTGAGGTGTGGAAGGCAGTATTTTTCCTAGTGGCAAATCGTCCTTTCCCGTCCCAGGTTCTTGAGGCTGCCTGGTTCTATGGCTCCAGGTCCCTTAGGTCACTGGAGTTAGCAGCCATCGCGTCACTCTCGCCTCTGCCTCGTCTTCACATCCTGCTCTGAGCTGCCTGCTTCCTTCTTCCATATCTAGAAGAGCCTTGTGAAGATGCTGGGCCCGTGGGGTAAACAAGGCTGCTCTCTTAAATCAGCTGATTAGAGCCCTTCATTCTGCTACAGCCTCAACATCTCCTTTGCTTTATAAGAGGCTGCTCTCCTCCTCTTAAATCAGCTGATTAGAGCCCTTCATTCTGCTACAGCCTCAACATCTCCTTTGCTTTATAGCTTGGCGTGTTTACAGGTTCTGGGGATTAGGGACATGAACATCTTTGGGGGGTCAGTGGTCTGCCAACCACAACAGTTGGACCATTTTATCCTCCTAGCACTGATGCATATGAGTACCTGTCTTTCTGTAGCTTCACCAACAGAGAATGTGATCAAACTTTTGGATTTCTCCCATCTGATGGGTTAAAAAGAAAAAACAAAACACAGTTTTGCTGAGATTTGCATTTGTTGTAAAGTCAGTGGAGGACAGCATCTTTCCCTGGGTATGGACCCTTTTGTATTTCTAACAGGTATGGAAACACAAAGCTCTTTAAGCATAGCCTTCTTGTTGTGATCCCAAAATATTTTATTTCTTGGGTTTCTTTTCCAAGAGTTACATTTAGGTATTTTTTGTTTGTTGTTGTTTTTCTTTTTTTTTTTTCCTTTCTTTTTTGTACCAGGGATCAAACTCGGTTCCTTGCACATGTGAGGCAGAACCACTGAGCTAAATCCATGGCCCTTTTTTAGTGTTTTGAGAGAAGTTCTCACTATTGGTTCAGGCTGGACTTGAACTCACTGTGTAGCCCAGGCTGGCCTCGAACTCCAGGCCTGAGTGCTGGGATTGATTACAGGCGCTAAGCAGTTGGCATACTCTATCTAAAGACTGTGTATTTCCTGCCCAGAGCACTTCTCGGGCTGTCACCCTTTTAAGTTTTCCATCTTTCTCAGCGGCACCATCCAGTCCTCAGGCTTTAAAGCCCCAGGTTTCTCCCCTAGAACCTTTTTCCTGCCTCTGCCATAGCCCTTGTCCACACCCTGCTTTCCATCCCCTCTGCCTCTGTCCCATGCTCCTCCCTCCTGGTATGTTCTCTCTTCTCCGTCCCCTAAGAGCTTTCACATCCTTCTCAAGTGATTGTCTGGCTGTGCCTCTCTGGGATGGGTCCCTAGCCAGAGCCCTCAGCATGGTGTTCGAGGTTCTCATGTTCAGCTCTTTCCCCTCATCCTCTCGTCTCCTGTCCCGTTTCCTAAACTCAGGCCAAGGTGATTTCATCTAGGCCTTTTCTGTGTCTCCTTGCATCTTATAAAAAGCTAACACGGAGCATTTACTATATGCCAAGAATATTGTCTCCACTTCACAAGAGTGTCCGAGATTTAGATTATAAAATTGTACAGGTCGCGCAGACGTGGGGTCCTGCTGCAGAGCCCTCATCTTAATTCCATACAGGGACGTTTCTTCTTCTTTTCCTGCAGCAGACTCCTCCCCCCAACTTGGCATCTCACTGGAAGCCTGCCCTGCTGTGCCCCTGTTCTCTGGCCTCTGTATCAAGGAGGCCTTGGTAGCCGTGTCTGCCACACCCCTTCGAGCTGGCTGCCTTCCTCAGTGGTCCCCAAACCTGGCCACACCTGAGAGTCACTGGGATGCTTTCCCAATTTGAGACTCCCGGGTTCCCTTTCCAGAGATTGTGACTGAGACAGCCTGGCCCCAGGATGGGGCAGTAGCTCCCCAGTGACTGTGGCATCATAGGTCTGGGAGCTACTGATACGCACCTTTCTTTGAGCTCCATGTGGCAAGCCGCAGGGATAATAACTGATGAGGTTTGCACCTGCAGCATTGCTTCGCTTCAGTGTCTCCAAAACCCCTGATCCCCATATTTGCTGTTCTGCAAGACACTCTGCATGGCTTGACTCATTCATGTCTGTTCATCTTGATGGGACAGGAGATGCAGGAGTAACTTAAACTTTGACTGGTTAACTAATTATCATTTTTAGACTGTAAAATTTGGTATTGAAAAAGAAGCTGGGAGCTGTGGCCCAACTGTCCTGTCTTTGTCACTTCCAGATGAGAGACTTGGGACTAAAGATATTCCGCTTCATTACTTGATTTACCTTGCAGGTTCTGTTTTGGGAGTAGTAGTGTGATGTAACTCTCACCTACTCCTATGAGATTCCCATTCTGTTCCTAGAGTGTCCCACCCTGTGAGACAATTAGAATTCATTCTTGCCCACTCACTGTGCCTAGACAGGGCCTGGGCCCTTTCAAGTTTATTATCCTTAACAGCTGTCCATACTCGGGGGCCTTCTGCCTGGCTGAGTGGTGTGCAAGATTTCTGCTGCTCAGTCCATGGAGAAGCTCAGGGTGGAGGAACAAAAGGTAGGGCGACTTGCTGGAATGATGTAGTCTGTTTGTCCCTCAGGTTATGGTGGTGGGTGCATGGACACTTTGTGGTCTTGTGTTCTTCCTTGAGTCTAGATGTGCTGCAAAATCCTTCTCAGATGATGTGCTGGCAGCTACCACTTTCAGCCCAGTGGACATCTGTTTGTCCACAGCTCATCACCAGATCAGGCCAGGCTGTCAGAGGCTCTGTGCCTGGGCTTGGAGACTTTGGTCTCTTGTGCAAATTTTAGTATCAGAAATGGTTTCATGAATGCTTTTTCCTCTTCATAAAATTATAGGTAATCATCATCGAGCACTTTGTGTCAAGTACTGTGCTTTAAATGAATTAGCTCATTCAGTCCTCATAGAACTTTGGAAGTAGGTACTGTTATTATCCCCCCTGGGGCACAGAGAGGTTAGAAAACTTGCTCACGGCTGTGCAGTGAGAAAGTGGCAGAGTCAGATTCACGTCCTTGCAGCTGTGCTCTGAGCTGTGGTTCCAGTAACTGATCATTTCTGTCTTGTGCTTGGTGGCAAGAAAGTTAACCACCAAATTTGCCAGCAGTTTCTGTCCATGGTACAATGTGGTACAGTGTTCATTCTGGCTCTGACTTCACCCTTGGCCTCTTTGTCTTCTTCTGCTTCCCTTTGTTCTCCTGCCAGCCAGGGCGGTAGATCTGGACGCTCAACCCAATACTCAGAGTGGTGGACACGTGTGCCAGCGCTTCAAACACAGGTGCTAATTGCTGAAATTAATTGGTAATCTTAGCACCTGCTCAGAAAGCCCCTGGCATCCGCATCTCCAATAATTACCTATTAGGAACTTAGCATCCCAAAATTGTCTCAGCCTCTCTTGAATCCTTTTGTATTTTCAGTCTCATTGAATATTCTCTGGAGCTACCTGAGAGTTCAGAAAACACTCCAAATTTCAGTGTTTCTGCTTGAATTCAGCCCTTTTCTTCCTCTGTAAAAAATGGGTAGATGGGAAGAGTTGAGATTTGAAGTTTTAGAGTCCATTGTGTCACTTTCGAGTTGAGATTAACCAGCTTCCACTCTAATGTGTGATTTCTTCATTGGTGGAATGGGTGGAAAAGAGTTTTTCTCAGGATTTACTAAGATCAAATGAAATACAAATCAGCACCTATGTAATCTGCTAGTGATCATATTAGATTTTATCTTATGCTTGAAAATGAACAGTGTAGCTGGGTGTGGTGGTGCACACCTGTAATCCCAGCACTCGGGAGGCTGAGGCAGGAGGATCGCTGTGAGTTCAAGACCAGCCTGGGCTACATAGTGAGTTCCAGGTCAGACTCAACTACATAGTGAGACCCTGTCTCAAAATAACAAAACAAACAAACAAAAAAAGAAAATGAACAGTGTAATTATTTACAGTGGTTCTTTAGTTATTTCTACTGCCTGGACCCCCCCCCCATCATTCCATTTATGCATTCATTTACCCACTCCTTTGTCAGAGGTACTGAGTTCTAATAATCCTACATTAAGGGCCGAGGAAGCAAGAATGTGTGGAACCCAGCTTTGTCCTTGGAGAGCGCACAGGCACATGGGGGAGACGGTTCTAGAAGGAGGACTCAGATACCCATGGAGAGTGAGGCTACAGAACTGTGGGCGCTCAGAAGAGGGGCACCTGACCTGGCCTGTTGGGGTTTGGTCTGGATCTATACAGAGCAGATGAGCTTGAGCTGAATCCTGAGCAAAACAGAATGGGTGCTCCCCACACAGATGGGAGGGGGGCAAGATGGCAGGAAAGGGAAGGGAGGTTAGTAACAGGTAAGTACAAGGAGCAGAGGAAGGGTGTGGTGTGGAATCAGCAGGAAATGAGGTCAGCAAAGTAGGAAGGCTCTTTGGACAGTGGAAAGCTGGAGGGTGACTCTCGGATGGAAGTTTGTTGGGCTACATGGAAGACTGGGGACAGGCGACTCTAGGGTCAGAGGCTTCTGCATTTGAGTGTATTACAGGTGACTTGTTCCCTCTGTGCTCTGGGAGAAGAAACCCAGGCTCCTGCTCTCCTCCCTCCCTCCCAGGCTGAGCTGACCCTGCACTGTTAAGGTTCACTTCCTAGAAGGTATTTGTAAGTAAGTGCAGCAGGCGCTCAGGACAGAGTGCAACCCTGGCCCTGCCTCCAGAGGGAGGGGGGAAGCCTGGGGCTAATGAGCACACACCCTCCCAGAAAGGAGCAGGGAGTCCACCTGGAAAGTGGCCTCACGGATGCAGATGTGACAAGGCATTGTGACCTCCGAGCCTGGCTTAGAGGGTCCCTCTGACATCCTTACTGGTTGGTCCAGGGCCTCTTGCAGCTCTGACTCACTCTGAGACCACTAGAATGCACAGAACACAGCTTTCTTGCTCACTGGTGTTAAACGAGCAGAGATTTTGCCAGGCTGTTTTCCTCTTCCTGGTGTTAGGGAGTTGGTGGCATAAATTTGTCTTCCCAGTGTCACAAACACAGCTCCAGCTAAGGCGTCTCTGAGCTAAGTCTGGCTCAGGCCAGTCTAAGCAGCCTGCAGTAAACATTGCTGCCAGCAGGTGGCAGCAGGCTTCTGTGTGAGGTATCTGCTCCCCTTTGCTGAGCACAGCCAGGCCACACCTCTTGGTGTGTGGAGGGAACTTTGGGAGCTGGGGAGGGTAGAAATGAATCAGACATGAGCCTTGCCCATGGGCAAATCAGGGGACAGAATGAGACAGATGCCCAGACCATGAAGCAGGATAAAATGAACTCTGAGGTGGGGGGGCAGAGTAGTGCAGGGGGAAAACGTGAGCAGCAGAATTCACACAGACCCAGATTCTGACCCAAATGCTGCCCTTTTCCAGCTGGTTGACCCTGGCACACTGCAGGATTTAAAATGTATAACAATCATCATAGCTAATGTAGATATGCAGCTTTCTTTGGTCAAGCACTGTTCTAGGAGATAGATAGACAGATAGATGGATTTATTCACGTAAACCTCAGCCTTTGAAGTAGATACAGTTACAGTCCCATTTTACAAGATCAGGAAAGGAAGGCACAGAGAAGCTGAAGTTCTCTCCAGGGTCACACAGCTAGTGCTGGATTCCAAACTGGGCAGGGCAGTTCCTCACCTGGTGATGGTGCATCTCTGGAGCTAGTGTAGTAGCTGACACCCAAATAAGGCCTTTTATGCCGTGCAGCTTCTATGCTTTTAGTAGTTGCTGACAAATGAGAATCGCATGTGCTGTTCCAGTAGGTGCTGCACATTTACTGTCACTAATTCCCCATCTTCCTGCCAGATTTGGGCACGCGAGTGTGGCACATCTCCTCCTGGACCACGGGGCTGACGTCAATGCCCAGAACCGGCTGGGGGCCAGTGTGCTCACTGTGGCCTCTCGGGGTGGCCACCTGGGTGTGGTAGAGCTGCTCCTGGAAGCTGGTGCCTTTGTGGACCATCACAGCCCCTCTGGGGAGCAGCCAGGGCCGGGAGGCGGCAGGGATGAACTACTGGACATCACAGCCCTGATGGCCGCTGTCCAGCATGGGCACGAGGCTGTGGTGCGGCTGTTGCTGGAGTGGGGTGCTGACCCCAACCATGTGGCCCAGACCGTGGGCTGGAGCCCACTGATGCTGGCGGCGCTGGCTGGGAGGCTCAGCGTGGCCCAGCAGCTGGTGGAGAGAGGAGCCAACCCTGACCACCTGAGTGTGCTGGAGAAGACAGCCTTCGAGGTGGCCCTGGACCGCAGGCACAGGGACCTGGCTGACCACCTGAACCCACTGACCACCGTCAGGCCCAGAACAGGTCAGGCTGCACCCCCACCCCCACAGCCTCACAGAGGTCTCCATATTATATTGAAATAGCTCCACCTGCTGACTTGAGCTTGAGCTTGTTGTGCTTAAGGATTCACACAGGGATGCCTGGGACCGGCAGGTTAGGGCCCCTAAAGTAGATCTGGGGAAGAGCTGGGAAATCTCCTAGCAAGGCCCTCCTCCCTCACCAGCTAGTTCTGAGATCCTTCCAAAGCCAAGGTCAGCGAACTTTTTTGTAGAGGTCCATATAATAAATACTTTAGGCTTTATGGGCCATACAGTCAGTCTCTGTTAAAACTACTCAATTTTGTTAGAGTGGAAGTAGCCTTACATGCTATACAAATGAGTAGCTGTGGCTCTGTGCCCGTAAACTAGTTACAGAGACAGGCAGCAGGGCAGGTTTTATTGGCTGTAGCTTGCCCTAAAGCAGTGTCCCTAACCTTGTCTGCCAGCAAAGACCAAGTCGTACAAAGTTAGTGAAAATTAGCCCCCTTTTTAGATCTGTTTTTTTCAAACACTCATTAGTTTCTTTTTTCTTTTTCCATCTTTCTGACATTTAAAGGGCTGTTTAAGCCAAACTTAATGTACTGACCACAGGATATGTTGCATTTTGGTCTCTGTTTTACCATGTGCAGTGAGTGCGACCCTCAGAGAGCCACACACAGCCTGGTCCCCAGCAGCATGGAGGTGAGAGCTGGCCTTCTCTCCTGAGCACCTCAGTTTAGGCCCTTCTCCCACTCTGTAGCTGGGTGGCTTGGGACATGTTAATTGTCCCTCTACAACTTACACACTTGTCTTTCATAAAATAGGCATAGTAAGTGCATTTCCCTTGAATAGTAAGATGATGCTCATTAAGTGTTTATCCCAGTACCTGGCACATGGGCAGAACCTAATAAGTGGAAACTACTATACTATATTTCTATCGCTCATACCTTCTTTTAGTTATTTTAAAAATATTTTTTGAGTGCTTACTGTGTACCAGGCACCATTCAAGGTTCCTGCAATATGGCAGTGAATAAGTGAGACCCAAATCCCTGTGAGACCTGGCCTCTATGGAGGAGGACAGCCAATAAACATGTTAAGTAAATTATGTAGAATAAAAGAATCCATGAGGTTAAAAGGAACGCATGAGGGCAAGGGCAAGGCTTAGCTGTGGCAGAGCTGGGGTGACTCAGGCTGGCTTTTGAAATAGGGCAGTGGGTGGCCACCTTGAGAAGCTGATTTTCAGAGGCCTTGTAGGAGCCCCAGATGTGCATCAGCTGTCTGTGCTCTCAGGAAGAGCCCCAGGTCCAAGAACAGCTAGGGCAAAGCTGTGTTATCAATAATGACGAAGATGATTAAATAGGAATTAGAATCCATAGCTCTCTGTGAGATGTCAAGACGTTTACTCCTTCCAAAGCCTTGTCGGTCTATGGTCTGTCCCCAGCATTAGCAGCAGGACAGGGTACCCTCTCAGGTGTCACTGTTGTTTGGACGGCCCTATTCCCAGCATAGTTGTGATGTGCAGGTAGGAACAAGCTTCCTTTCCTTGGGATGGGGCAGGGCCCCTAGAGCTGCTGTTACGTAGACAGAAGCATGCGGCCCAGAGCGAGGAAGGGAGCAGCCAGGGTCAGTGGGCATCGGCGCACAGCTGCCCCAGCTCCCAGGGTCAGGCTGCACTGTCAGGAATGCATGCCTCCCAGCGCTAGGACCAAGCGCCATTCTCTCTGTCAGTGTCTGGGCATGGGAAGGCCCAGCCCATAGCAAACTGTACTCATAAATACTTAAAGGCACATGCTATATTTTAAAGAACTGAGATGCAGCATAATTTCTTGGTAGTATTTCAAAGGCAAATTTAAAACTTGGTATTGGAGTCAAGTCCATACTCACCTTTAAGAATCCTGGTTTAAGCTGGGCATAATCTGAGCTACTTAAAAGGCTGAGGCAGGAGGATTGCAAGTTCAGTTCAAGCCCAGGCTTTGAGATTCAGTGTCATAACATTTTTTAAAAAGAACTGGGATGTAGCTCAGTGGCAAAGTGCTTGCCTAGCATGCATGAAGCCCTGGGTTCAATTCCTACTACTGAAAGAAAAAAAAAAAAAAAAAGAATCCTGGAGTTAAATTGTTAAATAGCCTGGTGGCTAATAAACATACCAATCATCTCTGAACAGAGCTTCAATGTTTCTGAACCATTTTCCCACCTACATTATCAGCTGATCCCTACAGCAACCTGGTGACTGAAGACTGTCCCATGTTATTTATGCTTATTACTAGTTCAGCTAGAAACGTGCACCCACACTCACAGGTGCTGGCTACAGACTCAGTTCTCCACACACCGGGCTGAGGCTTCTTCCCAGCTGCCTGAGAGGACTCATCTCCATTCCAGTCAGCCGGAGTCACATGAGTCCTCTTGCAGCTGCTCTTCCCTGGGACCCAGAAAGGGTGCAGGAGTCTCATCTGCAGCCTGCGCAGTCAGACCAGCCATGAGGCTACCAGCAGGAACCCAGCTGGGCATGAGCCTGAGGGAGGGACGAGCGTGGGAGGTCCCCTGGGGCAGGCAGAGGTTCCAGGCCAGCCAAGAGGACATCCAGGTGGGCAGCCCCGACTGCTGTGAGGCAGCTGTGTGTGTGGCTCTGAGCAGGGTCGTGTACACATTGCTTCAGACTTGGGAAGCAAGGTAGAATGAACATTGGCTCTTCTGGTGGTTTTGGCCGGGACTGACCATTGAGTCAGCTACTCAGTGTCCCAGGGTCCTCTGCTGTGGAGTATGGTTGAACATTTAGTTCTTAGAAGAAAACAGTTATTGTTTCTTTCTAAAATTCTTGCAGGAATCTAGATTTTCCCAAGACCACATTTTTAATAAGAAAGGACATCCCAAAGTTCAGAATGCCTGAAAACAATTGCTTCATTAGTGTGAGATCCGAGCAGTGGACTGTCTCTGAAGTGTTTTCAGAACTCTGTGGTAATAACACTTCCAGAAGGCTGTGAGATTGGTCTGTGTGGGTCTCTAGTTAGATTGTTTCTGAGAAGTGTATCCTTTTAAAAGCTAGGCTGTGTTTTACACCCTTGTGACTTTGCTGTTACAGTAAACCTTTCTGCGGCTAACTTTCAAAAATCTTTATTTATCCAGATGAGGAGAAAAGGCGACCTGATATTTTCCATGCATTGAAAATGGGTAAGCACTTTAGAAGATCTTTTTGGGTCTAAGGACACAGGGCCACATTCTACCTATCTAATATTAGTCGTCCTTCTCAAGCCCACTGGAGTATTTGAGAAACACAGAGTTTGTTGTTTCCTGACTCACCAGTCTCACCAGGGAGGCCTAGCTCACGGAGGCCCTCTGTCTGTCATGGGAGTCAGCCCACAGGTTCCAGATGGCCTCCCAGCCCCGCCACCCTGCCAGCCAGTTGCTGAGCTGTACTTTTTTGTCTCTACCTCTGAAACTCCTTCCTGCACTCCCACCCACTCTGGTCTCTGTATGACAGAGGCTGTTTAGCCTAAGATTTCCTCTCGTGATATAGACCCCACCTTCAGGAAGCCCACCCTGGTTCTCACCCCCAGCAAGACCTAACCTCCCCTTCTGCATGCCTGTCATCTTTCCAAGACTCTGGAGGCACTTCTTTCAATGCTTGGGCATGTCTTCATGTCCCATAGACAGGAAGTTGAGAGTAGAGGCCCACTGTAGAGACACAATCAGCAAATATCTGTTCATGAACCAGTGGAGCAAAGGAGCCTGTGAATCCGGGACCGTGGATCAGTGGGACTCCTGCTTGTGTGTGCAGGAAATTTCCAGCTGGTCAAAGAGATCACCGATGAAGACCCCAACCATGTGAACCTAATCAATGGGGACGGCGCAACACCACTGATGCTAGCAGCTGTCACGGGACAGCTGCCGCTGGTGCAGCTGCTGGTACAGAGGCATGCCGACATCGACAAGCAGGACAGCGTGCATGGCTGGACGGCCCTCATGCAGGCCACCTACCACGGGTCAGTGACAGCTGCACTCCCTCTGTGACCAGGTTCAGTAGACGCCCTGGCCTGGGTCAGCATTCACAGTGAGGTTTTGTGATCTCGAGGTACCACATAGAACCCCAGGGCTGCAAAGACATCAAGGCATGCAAAAAAGGTGGCTGCAGCTCAGGCCTGCTTCAAGCCTTTCCTACCCAGTTTTCCCATTAACCAGGACAATTTCATAGGGGCTGGGAAACATCATGCAGCAGGAAGCTTTTAGGCAGGAGGAAATTTCTGTCATTGGTTTCAGCTGAACAGAGTGTTTGGTACATTTGGCATTTTCACTTTTTTTTTTTTTTTTTT